ACTGTTTTAAAATAAGTTTTCATTTACTTCTTCACCTGATTTACACATTTCTCTATGTAACGTTTACTTTTGTTACTTCATATTTTTAGCCAATGTTCTTAATATTTTCATTCTGTTACTCTGTTTACATCCAGTTTCATCATATATTTTCTTGTTAGTCGATACACTTGCTTATTACCCTTTTAATTTTTATCAAATCTGTGTATATAAAGATTTGTAATCCTATATTATTCTTCATTCATCCAGGATAATTTTTCAAGTTTTTTAATGTTGTGGTCCCATAATTCAAAAGACTTTTATTTACCTTAATATTTTTAGCTCAGATCAATGGCTACTAAAATTAGTGTATTCTTACCTAATATTAGTCATGAGTAATTAATAAAACTCTGAAATTTTTGTAAAGACATTAAAATATTTGTTACTCAATTGTGGCACCCATAATGATCTTTTTGCTTAACCAAACTTATACAGACACACACATATACACACACATATTTGCATGCACACATACTAGCCAAAATAGTCTAAGATGAAACTTACATTGGAATGTTTATTTTAAAATTAAATTTTGATATGTGATATGGAATAATAATACAGCTTTCATATTTTTTTCTTTTTTTTATGTTTAAAATTAATTTATTTTTAAAACAAATAAAAATAAAACAAAATATTTTAAAGTTTTTTTTTTTTTTGAAACCATGCTTTTAAAAAATAATTTTGAAATCTAATTTTTTTACATAACTGTTATTTAAGTGTTATATTTTATGATGTGTTGCAGCATAGCTCTTTCCAACTATAGATATTTGACAAATTATACCTTCACATTTAACCCCATTTATTTAGCAGTCATTGTGGATTAAACTTGGTAAAAACCCCTTGTAAGATTAACTAAAACTCTATCTTCTATATGCTGTGTCTCTTCAGAATATCGGTGATCATGGCTCTCCAAAATGTCCTGTCCATTGTAGCTCTTAATAAATTTTGTCTTTTTATTATTTCTTCTAAACCTTGTTCTGCTATACATTTACTCATTAAGTAGGTTATTTATTGTTTTCCTTTGTCTCTCTTGCCTTCTGTCCTGAATCATCAATCAGATTTTCCAATCTCTCTTTCCTCATTAAGTGACTTAGAAATTTCAACTGCCTCTTCCTGATGTTAAGTATAAGTGTCCTTTTTGTTTCCATTTTCAATAAAACCTTGTCGTTGCTTATATGTTCAGTCCATGGTATCCTCAGCATCCTTCTGTAGAACTACATTTCTATTGCATCATGTGTGCTTATCTATGAGAAAATTACCCAGAATTCACTGCCATGTAAGATATTACATAATAGCTCAGTACTCTTTTCTTTTTTCTAACAAAATATTTGTTTCTTAATACTTTGTTTAGCTTTTGGAAGGTATAGCAGGTGCTATTTCTTACAACAGAAGGGATTATACATGTATATTCAATCTTTCATATACTCATTCCTTGGACCACTTACATGATTTTTATTAGATTTTCTAATATTTTAATTTCTTGTGAAAATGCAAAATATTTTCCACTACATTATATCTCTTAATGAAACAAAAAACTAATTACTCTCTCTCTCTCTCTGTGTTTCTTTAGCACAAAACAAAATTCCTAGAAATTTTCTCTCTGTTTTTCCTTAATTACCAAGAACTATTGATTAATTATATGAAATACAAGAAACTAATTTTAAAACCAGCTTTGAATATTATGCTCCCACTCTTCATTCAAACATTGCATAATTTCTTTCTATCCCTGTTGAATTACGTCTGCAAATGTGTCATAGTAACAGGAATAGGTTTACCTGAAAGCATTTAAATCCACTTGTGTTTTAATGACACTGTTTAAAGTGGGCAAATTATTTAAAAAGAAAAAATGATAGATAGCTACATAATGTCTGTTTTTCTGTTATTGAATGCTGAGCAGTTTCATCAGAAATGAAGAAAATACTTGAAGTAATGTAATCCTACCAACAAATGTTTAGCATTTTATAGAGACAATATCTGAGAAATGAAGATACTTTAAGAAGAGAAACCACAAACAGCTGCTAAAGTTTTGGTGATACATAATAAGGAAAGAAGGTTTGGAGAATTTAACATTTGCAAGGCAAGAAAAACGGGAAAACTTCATGTGACCTAATTGACAAGTTTCAGTAAATGGATGGTGGAAAAAGTAGCAAAATAATAAAGAGGATTTGTAAATGAAAAATTGCTTAGCATAATGAAAGTTGTGGAGGACCATGATTGCCTACATCAAGAGAGGGAGAGCCAGTCTTTAAAGACCTGGTTTTATTTATTAATATCAAAAGGAGATTTCAATAACTTTCAATTTACTTTTAGTTATTTCTAGAAACTAATGACTAACCGAATGAGTGAGCGTCTGGAATCACTTATCCTTAGAAATAAATGGTGTGTCATTATTTTATAACCTGATTTTATCCCCAATGCACCATTGACCCGTATATATAGTCAAGAAGAAATCCAACACTTGTGACCTGACGATTGCATTTAGTATGAAACAGACTGTCGCATCTGAATATTGACTTCATTGTCCACTTTTATATTTACATACACTCTACCTCTGATATTGAGCACCTATCCCATAAATATAGCACACCTTAGTACTATATTTCTTCATATATATATATATATATATATGGTACCATACCATATACACCAGCTGGATATATTCCATAAGAGCTGTCTGTGTGCTATCTGTGGAGTTAGCTTCAAAATAGGACATCCAATGTAGACCTGTTTAACAGGTGTAATGTTGGAGGAATCAAAACATTCCTCATACAGTCTTGGTTGCGCTGAACTGATCATGTCTTGAAAATGTCTGATGACAGGATGCCCAAAATCCTAATGTACAGCCAGTTAGATCAAGGCTACAGGAATGTAGGACGCCTATGGCTTAGATACAAAGACAAACTGAAGAGCAACTTGTCAGTTGTCAATATACCTCATAACAACCTCAAGCGCTTAGCCTTGGAGTGTTTTAGTGGACTCAGTAGTTTTTAATCTGCTAGTCTGAATCGTCTTCAAGAAGTGAGAGCAAGATCTGAAAGGTCAGCCAATCTAACAGCAACCTCATCCCACAATCCTCACTCTTGCTCCAGATGCGGCCTCCTTTGCAGATCATTAGCTAGTCTTAAGTGCCACTTAAGATTATTGCACAAAATTCATAACTGAATCAATTGGTTAAGTTGTCAGATATACCAATATTCAAACATTATATTTTTAAAAAAGTGCTCAATACAGAGTATTCTCCAGTTGACCACCACCACCTGAAGCATATATATATATATATATATATATATATATATATATATATATATATATATATATATTGTAAATGAAGAGAAGATTTTGGGGGGCACTCGAGAATATTTGACATTTCATAGTAAAAAAGTTTTGTCTGGTTGAGTAATATATATTGGATATGAGGAGGGATACCATTTCTAAAATGTTGACTGTGGGGAAAATCTGGGTCTGGTGGGATTTGCTGATATTGGACTGACAATCCAATTTAAATGTCTGCACATGTTTGAGAGTATCACTTTCAGTGTCAGAAAATTTTCTTTCAGCCAGCATTCACATTATAAATGGCTGAATTCTTGACTGCCTACTAGAAAATTAGAAAAAATTTTTTTGTGGTAAATTTCAAAGCATAATCCTGGAATCTACTATCATGGCTCCCCACAACATCCTATCCCTCACAGCTCTAAGCAACTTTTAACTTTTTATCATCTCTACATGTCCTGATCTGTCATCCATTCACACAAACATATTAAGTAGCGCACTGCTTCCCTTTACTTCTCCTGTGAGTATTAAATTTTCCAAGCCTTCCATCTTCATAATGTACCTCAGAAATTTCAACTTTTTGATTTTAAGTAGTAGTCTTTCCAGTTGCCATTTTCTTTAAATTACACTATTTACATTGTTCAGACTGTTGTCCTCATCTTTGTCATATTCATGTTTCGGCCGTTTTATGCTCCAGCCTTCTTCAGGTGATACACGTTGGAATTTTGAACCAAACACTTTATTTAGTCTACTGGGGTAGATTGTTCCAACAAATTCCAGTGTATATCACCTGAAGACAGCAGAAGCATTCAACAGCCAAAACCTCATGAATATGACAACAGTCCAAACAATGTAAATACTTACAATCTCAGAAATATAGACAGAAAAAAACATATTGCAAAAAGTAAAGTGTAGTGGAGGATTTTCTTTTGCTCTGTTTTACAACTTCATTACAGATGAAGATTCATTGAAAAATGGCATGGAACATCAGGGAATGCAATAACTTGGAATGGGAAAAGGAATCTTCCTCAAGCAAACTTGATGAATCCCTAAAATGGATTAATTGCTTTCATGTGCATATGCAGTTATGTTTGGTTTTTAGAAACCTTTATTTAAAAGATTAGGCTGTATGCTGTTGATTTCCCAAGGGGAGAAATGATTGCAAAAGTTTTCCTCCTTCCCCTCTTATAGTCAGAAAGACACAGGTTGCATGCTGGGATATTTTTCTTAACCAATAAAATGGATGGCTTGCATGACTCAGTCCAAATCTGTCTTAACTACTAGACAGACATACTGTGTTCACTTGGTTGACCTTGCTTTTGTATACAAACACCAATTCCTAGTTTGTAAATTCTTTTGGCTTCTCATCAGTTTTGATTTGCTTTAACTATATTGTTTGTTTGCTTGTATGATTGTTGCTCTTTCATCTTTTTGACTGTTTTTCTTTTCATTGCAAACTTTATTAATTCTGTTTGTGTTATTTATGTTGCACTTTAACAATAGCTTCTAATTCATTGCAGACAATTTGGTTAAAATTTGTCTAAGGAATAAGAAAAATATGCAGCTATGATTTTTACTGCTAATATTTTAATTTGGAAACTGATCTCTGAGGATCATATCATATAATCAGGAAAAAATAAAAGTGGAAAAAGACAATCTATTTTTTAAATTTTTTTATTTTTTATTTTCAGGACAAGTCTGAAGTTAATGACTTCTGGCCATTTATAAAGGAAGTGAAATGGCAAGATCCGGTATTGGATCCATTTATAGAAAGAATAAACCGTTCATCTCCTAACCAGGATGGTTTCTCTAAAGGACAAGTTTGGCTACGAGAGAGCCTACACTATCATACTATCTCTAATCAGCTGAATACTCTTGTCCACAATCAAGAAATCTTATTACAGTATTACCATGGTAAGTAACAGTTTTATATTCTTATATTATCAATCTGTATACTAATTGAAAAGGTAAAAAATAGTAGATTATGGCATTGTAGGTTAATATTGTCTTGTCATCAGAATGAAGTGTACACTTTCCCGACTTTTCCTCAGATTTTCTGAAGAAGTTTGTCTAGAATAAAATGACAAAGGCCTCTGTTAAAGAAACTCTTACTTTTTCCATATTATAATTAAAAATTCAAAAGTGTTATATTTAGAGTCCTACCCACTAGACAGGGTAAAAGAACAATCAATGCTGGACCTTTGAAAGAACACATCTTTATTTTAGGCTTCTAGAACCCTAACACTATGACAGTGTTTCATAAGTACAAGTTGTAAAGATGAAGGTTGAGCTTGATCATCATAACATGTATATGTATATATGTATGTATTTGGCTGTGTAGACTATTCCAATATTGTCAATATTTATACCAAGCTTGATGTATCTTCATTACCCCAGAACTAAAAACCTTGTCAATTATCTGGTGAGCTATCATATATTCAACACAGTCTGAAAAGTTTGATTCATTTTTTACAGCTTATCAAGCCTTTGCAAGTTATGTTATTTAAAGCCAGAAAATATTTTTAGATTGTAAGAAAATGTTTTCTTTTTTGTTTTTATTTACTAATAAATAGAAAGTTATGAATCCAGCTTTTCTCCCCCCAGCTATGAATTAAAAGTCAAAGAAGGACAGACTGTGCCAGGTTTGCTTGGCCAAAATACATTACATATGAATGAACCCCTCTCTGGCTTTCATCCCAGATATGTGGAGGGAACTGATCAGGTGCTCAGTTTAACAGCAATTTTATGGGATGGGAGTGACAATTGATAAGAGAAGTTGAGAAACTTCAGAATCTGGTATAACTGACCATGTGTGAAGGGAGAGCATGATACACTAATGTTTATGGAATGAGGTCAGAATAATAGAGAGGAAGAGGCATATTGATGACAAAGACTCGGATTAGTGGCTTGTGGGGCTCATTAATGAGGAAAGCATGGGCAATGAACTTGGAATTCCATGGGTGTGGTCAGAAAAATGAAAGGACACAGTGTTTGGGGATTGTAAGTTCCTAGGCATGTATGAGAATGGATATGCTTGTTCTCTCTCTCTCTGTTTCTCTCATTCTCTATTTTGGTCTATCTCTCTATCTTGGCCTTTCTATATATCTCTCTCAGCCTCTCTCTCTCTCTGTACTAAAATTCAATAAGTGTCCAGAACACAACCGACACCTGAGGATGACTGGATGTTAGAATGAAAAAAGCAAAGATGAGTCAGTCTAATTAAAGCCATATACAAGGATGAAATGATCCCATCTAACAAAATTCAGAGATGTTATTGAATACTTCACTGATACCCGTTTGATCTGATGTCCAGATATAATAAATAAACCAACAAAATAAATATCTTTATTAAAAAAACCCTGAGGGTAACATCTGTTTTTTGCTATCCCTGATTAATTCCATGGAAACAGCTTAACTGTCATTGTTCAGGTAATTTATTAATTGATTTTCTCATTAAAAACTAGCTGTCCATGCTAATAACATGAGTCCATCTAAAAATGGAGAGTAAAAATAGCAAATCCAACTCTCCACTTTGCTCATTTGTGACTTTTCTATTGGTTCACTCTATTTCATTTCTATATTTTAATCAGTGTCTGTCTACATATGCTTGTTTTTAGATATATAAGAAAATGAGTGTAATCTGCATGCTGTGTTAAATACTAAAATAAAAAGTTTTAGTTTCCTTGCTGAATTGTTGCATATTTATTACTGATGCCAATGACTCCTATTAAACCTAAGTTAAAGGCTTGCATTTCAAAGGCTTATTTTCATTACAGGTAGAAGATTGGCGCTGTACACTCTCTCTTCAATTTTGTGTCATAATAAGATGAGAAAATATATTCATATTGGCTTTCTTCATGGCTCAGATGATTTATATTTCTAGTGATTGAAGTTGGGGTTAATTAAATCCAGTAAAAGCCATAATCTTAACTCCTGATTTATAAGGCAGAGAGGACTTTCCCATTTAGAAGATTGCTGCTATACAATTTTCATTACCTCATTTGGTCTTGTACTTAGCTAAGTTTAGTATAAATCAATCAGAATTTCCAATAAGATTAATTTAAGAAGCAATAAATTCATACTTTCTTAAATTAATCCCTTATTCAGCATATGTCATATGTTGAAATATAAATTCATTAAATATGAAATGAAAGTAAGAAATTGAAACTGGATTCTGCTACATCATTTTTTTTGTGGGTGGAGGGGGGTTCCTGGGTAGTTATAATTTTGACCAATGAACAAGTATAAGCATTTTTTTTTTTTTTTTTTTTTTTGACATATATTGGGATGTATCAAAATTTTATTTTCCCCTATGTGTGCTTTTCTTTTTTTGCTAAATATATATAATGCTTGATATATGGTATGGTATTTTTTGATGATTAATGACCCAGGCTCTTCCAAAACGTATTGAGTGCTTGTGGTTAGGTTCTCCTCTATCTTGTTTTTATAAAGTATCTTAATTAGAGCAATAAAGGGGGGCTTATTAAAACAAAACGAAGGGTAATAAAAAATATATATTGCTGCAAATTGGTAATACCAAAAATATTGATTTAAAAACACAGTTAAACTGATTTATCAGTCCGCTCTCATCAGAGGAAAAATCAAGGACAAAAATGTGCACAACAAATAAAAAAGATATACAACTCCAGAATAATGTTATATACAAGCAAAAGCCATCATAAATTGACAATGGCTGATGATCCACTTTAAGAAAGCAGCTTGGGGCTGTACAGTCAAATATTGTTTCATTTCCTGCTAATTCCAAATTTCTGAAAACATCTTCATTGGCTTTGCAGTTCTATTTAAAATAATGAATCAAAATTAGTAGACTCCCAATTCTTGTATCTACAACAATTGAAAAGGTACAACTGAATACTGTTGCTTGCTTGCTTGTGTGTGTGTGTGTGTGTGTGTCAATAATATAGTGAATTCATAGTCTCAAGAGGTGTACTTAAAATATGCTTTAGAATAAAGATTGGTAAAAATGAGAGATTTTTTATAGGCCTGAATATATGAGTTCCCTGGTAGTATATTGTTTTTGACTGAAGTTGATTAGGTTCAGTTTGTACAAATGTTTTTAGGCATGGGTTCACTTATCTTTGTGCTCACTGTTATTGCCAGTTATATTGTCAACTTTTCTTATTACTGGTATGCCACAATGCTTGATAGAATTGTATGGGTGAGTGAGTGAATACTTGGGTAAACTCATAACCCATAACTGCCTAACCTGTTCAACATAGACAGGACCAATTATACATAGGCACATGCACAAAAGGATGCTGAAAATATTTTGTCAACCAAGAAGTTTTACCCAGTAAAAATTTGGTATGGGATTATTTAGTCAAATTTTCTAAAGTTGGTCTAGCCAAGAACTTTTCAGCATCTCATATATATATATATATATATATATATATATATATATATATATATATATATATATATATATGCATGCAGGAATATGTATGTATTCTTACACACACACACACACATGATTTGTATGAAAATGTTGATCTGAGGAATTAGAATTGAATTTCAATTCTAAAGAAATAAATTATAATCACCATGAACCCTTAAAGTTGCCTGTTTCTTAATATATACATATATATATATATATATATGTGTGTGTGTATATATATATATATATATATATATATATATATATATATATTGAACAATAAAAAATATTTAAAAATTAAAATCTTCAGACACACTGGGTTGCAGATTAATATTCTTTTCGTTTTTTATTATTTCATTTAGATTCTCGACTAGTTTCGGCCAAAATGGCCATCATCAGGAGAAGAAATATTTCTGCTTGCTGGTAGCAGTGAACTACAGAAATGAATGTCTTGATGGGAAAATGAACTTTTGTCTGTAGTTTTCATTTGTTTTTTTTTATGTTTTTATCTTTTTAACATGAATCTTTTAACCTTCCTTGTGTTGGTCAAACAGTCTCTTTTAAGTTGTTATTTGAGATAAGAGCTGGATGGATCTATGCTGCTCTGAATTCCCTTGGTTAGTTTGACAGTTTTATTGGTTCTGGAGAGGGGATGTGTCTCTGTTAAGTGTTTTTGTGTGTGTTATTTGGTTCTTAGGGAGTGAGTGAGTATGATATGTGTAAGCATGTATATTGCAGTGGGTGTGTGTTATCATTTGGCTCATTAGGGAGTGAATGAGTATGATGTGTGTAAGTGTGTATGTTCATGTGGGTGTGTGTATAAGTGTGAGGCCTCAACACCTCTGTAAGCATGTCTGTCTTGTGTGGGTGAGAAATGTGGGTAGGTTTTGATTTGTAGTGTTATATATTAGTACTATCTATATTGTTAAATTTATGGTTTAGCCCGGCTGGATAGTGTGTTTTTAGATGTTGTATCCACTTATTTTCATTGAACTCTAAAATCTTTCTAATGTTATCTGCTCTGAACTTTTCTATTCTCTCAATTATAGTGAATTTGGCATGGGTTTTGAAATTGTGTTTTTCTAGGTGGAAATGTTGTTCTACAGGTAATAATTTTTCGTGGGAGTCGACTTAATTCAATTGTGCTAATTATTAATTCTGTAGTGAAAGGCCATTCAGATTTTCCTACATATTGTTTCTGGCATATATATATAAAATAAAATTTGTCACTTAGCTGATTGATTCAGTGCCTCAACTATAGAGATTAACTTTTTTATAATTGTTCAAGCCACTCTTCAGGAGGTTTCAGTGATATATCAACTGGAGTTTTGAACATACATAACATAGATACATACAGTTCAGTGAAGAATTCTGCTTGTATGTCACCTTATGTATTACATTATAGCAGATAAATGCAAAAAATAAAAATAATATCCATGTTTTCTTTTCTCTGATATTGATAATATCCACGATTGTAGCCAAATGCATTAAGTTTCAAACATTTGAGCAGTACTTATAA